TTTATAACTAGAGTTATTAGTATGAGAAATATTAAAAATTAACTGGGTATTTTTGCTGGAAGTGAAAGAATTCTGATATTTATAAGGATGCTTTATAGCTCAAGAATCCATCTCTAACCATTCCAGCTATGGCTAGGACTGAACTGGCAGAGCAGAAAGGGTGCTTGCACATATGGCATGTTCACACAGAGACAGTACTGTTCACTCAAATGCTGGACACAAGGAGAAAGACTGGGGAGAGGTGGTGGCTGATGCATATGGGTCCATTGTGGCCAGTTCTGCAAGGGTGAAAATGAGCTTTCACCATATTTTCCCACTCTATCTGAACCCCTTGTGGTCATCAACCAAAGATTTGGGTTGGCCAGGTAGCTGGTTACTTTACCCAAGATCTTACATGAAGCTCGTAAAGCATAGATGTGTGCTGGCAGCAAGGATGTGTTTGTGCTACACATCCTTGCTGCTGAATACCAATAGCATGCGATTTGTTGCACATCTGCAAATGGGCACGTGGTTTCCAGTGAATCAGGTGGCACACTGAATTATTCTAAGAATGCAGAACTGCATGTGCAGAAGTTATACTTTAAGGGAAATTTGCATGTCCATATAACACCAATAGGATGCTAGTCACTGTCTAACCAAAATCATATTCAACAGTCCTACTTGCATAGGTATCTCTGTTAGTTCACTTTCAATGTGTTGGTTGCATTGTTAAATGGGCATAGAGGAGGATGGTTCAATTTCATCATGATGGCCTTGACTTTAGTGGGGACCATGTAGAGTCTGACCTTATAAAATGTTGAACAGTATTTCTACCAATAAGCACGAAGCACCAGAAGATATGAAGTCGTAACCAGAATGGAAAACATAGGAGTTGTCCTAAAGAAGGAGAGCTGTATAAATAAGTCTTGTGCTACAGGAAGAACCGGGTTTACAGTGAGCTTCTGGTGTTTAATTTTTAAAAACATTTGTGGGTCTTTGTTTAGGTGCCTGATGAGGGATCGTTATTCATCCACTTAAATTAAAATAGCAAGAGGACTAAACAGATATGAGGGAGTGTACGAACCCCATCGTTTTCCAACCTTAGCTGCTGATACTAGATTTTACTTCCTTGGCAATCCTTCTGAATTCTTCCTAGAAACTCAGCTTGGATTTCCGTGGGCAATTGGTGTCCCTGAACCAGCACATTCCACAACAATCCCATGGCACATTATTTGACTCCACACCTAGAAGCAGAAAGACGATGCTGATTTCAGAGTCTAGATTTGCAATAAGGTTTGATCTTCAAGCTCTGTTGAGATCATGAAACGGAGAAAGAAATCCAGCAAAATCTGCAAAGAGAGCTACCTTATTATTTTTATTATTATTAAATTTTATCCTGCCTTTTTCTTGATATACTCAAAATGGCAAACAATAAATATAAAGTAATACTAATTAAACAATGTAAATACATAAAATAAACATGTAAATGTAAAAACAAAATAGTGTTTTTTAAAATGATTAAACATTAAAAATATTAAAATGCATTAAAATGTTATACTCACCTTAAAACCCCAACCACACTGCTTTAAAATGCCTGACTTTATGTCCACAGAACCTGGAGGGCCAAAGTTTGCTCATGCCTGCTGTAGAAGAATAATAATACATAAAATAATAATAATATATTTTCATTTGTTACCCATCTCTCCTAAAGGCTTGAGACAGGGTACAACAAAACATTGGAACATGGAATACATCCATCCAACATATGAACATGAAATAGGAGGCCCCAGTGGCGCAATGGGTTAAACCCTCGTGCTGGCAGGACTGCTGACCGAAATGTTGGTGGTTTGAATCCGGGGAGTGGGGTGAGCTCATGGAGGGACATGAGAGAAGCCCCCCCCCCCCAGGATGGTAAAATATCTGGGCGTTTCCTGGGCAACATCCTTGCAGATGGCCAATTCTCTCATACCAGAAATGACTTGCATTTTCTCAAGTCACCCCTGACACGAAAAAAAAAAGGTCCACAGGGTTTTGCCCTAATTGCACTACACATTTTGTTACAGAATTGTGACTCTGCACAACTGAATAAGGAATCCTGTGAAATTATGTAATTGATGTGCAACAGTGTTAAATGCCATCATATCCATAGCTCCTTTTTGGTAACCTTCAACTGAATAAATATTAGCAGAATTGTTGGAGAACTTACACATGTGTAAGACACCAAAAGAATGCCATCTGTTCCTTCATGGTTGCACATTTTCATCTTCAGGCTGGGGATGCTGGGAACTGTCTTCCAAAAAAGTAATTTTCCCAAGGTTATCAAAGTTCTCCAACTATCCCACATATTTGGGGTTTTCAGTTGGATTCCAAAATAACACAAAGACACATTGAGTCTCTCCAAGACCAATATTTTTCCATCCACTGTTTTGGGAAATGTTAGGCTTCCCTTCCTTTCTCTCTCAATAGTCTTGAAAATCTCATAAGCTGCACTTTTGAAAGCTCAGCCATTCTCCAGGAAGCTTATTATTTTTTTCCCCTTCACATTAGACCCACTGCCATGTTAGACTCTGGCAAGACCTTATTCAAGTCCTGGTTGAGTTACACAAATATTATCTGACCCAACCGTCTGTGTTCTCTCTAAAGCTGTACTTTTCCCTCTGTGATCTGACACGTTCCTTTTCTCGGAGACACAGTGAACAATTGTAAGAATGCTGAGAGAAGGTCAGAAAAGAGCACAGAGCTTGTTATTGCTGAGCTCACCTCTCCAAATGTGATGGAACAACAAAAAAGAAGAGACAGCTTTTGAAGGTTGAAGTGTAGAAGTGATCTAAGGACATTGACCAAACATTGTCATAGGGCCAGCTGCCATCACCTGCCACCAAGTTATGAGTATTGCCTTTGAAACATTAAAAAAATCTATTTAAAGTTTTATTTAGTGATGTATTTATTTAAAACACAAACCACTACAAAATAGGACTGGTGCCAACCGTGGACACCTCCAACAGTTTGAGGGATTGTGACCTGGCCCTCTGTTTAAAAAGTTTGAAGACCCCTGATTTAGAACATCAAAGCTTCCAGCAATGGAAAATGAAACTTGGATAAGCAGATAATCTGGAATCAGATAATGGAATATAGGGGCAATGTGGAAGGATCCTTAGTGACAGTTCAGGCTTGATTAGCTCTAGAACTCATTCATTTGTGTTTTTAGCAATGTCCTCCAGCAAAACATTTCAACAGAACAAAGAGGAAGGAAGTGTGTTTGTATCTGTGTTCACTTCACCTGTTAATTTATGGCAACCGTTTGACTTTTGATAGGGTTTTCTTATACAAGGAATGCCATCTGAGCTGCTTTTGGACCAGTTCCTTCTTCTGAAATAAAGCCCACACTACCTAGTATTCACTGGTGGTCTTCTTTCCAAGTGCTATTCAGTGCTAACCCTGCTCAGCTTCCAAGATCACATGAGATCTGGCCCTTTTAGGGTATTTAGGCCCAAGGAATGAAGAGAAGATTAAAAAAAAATATCTTTAAGTATGTATATCTGTAGGTTCTTGTGGGTTTTTTCGGGCTATAGAGCCATGTGTAAAGATCCCTTACCTTGCCAGCCAGGGTGGCAGGGCCAGGAAAAGTCAGGCTAGGTAGTTTAGCTTGGAAGGCCTGGCAGAGTGCTGCTGGAGCCATTTTAGAGCAGGGAAAAGCTCCAGAGCAGAAGGGGGAGTGGCTGAGGCCTGTGCCAGCCCAGCAACAGCTAGGATTGGTTTAGAGAATAGGGGCGGAGTTAGGCAGAAGGAGGGAAAGAGAACAGTGAGATTTGACAGTTTTAGTGTGAGTTCAGCTGAGTTATGAGAAGAGTAGAGAGGAGTTTTAGTTCAGTGCTGAGAGAGATTAGAGAGGGATTTAGCTTTGTCTAGAAGTCTCTGTTTTAGAATAGGCAGCTTGCCTTTAGTCTGCACAGACCAGTAGGCTGTGGCAGACTGAGTTGCAGCTATTGTGAGGAAAAATAGCTGGGTTTTGTGTTTAATGAAACTGTAACTAAGGAAAGAACATTCTCTCAAGCAACCAATACGCTTATAAGAAACAAGAGCACTTTTATCTGTAACCATCAAGCCTCAGTACCTGCATTCTCGTGTTGTTCTGTAATTTATGATCAATAAACTCTTTCTTATTATTTTTAAACTTAAAGCCTGAGTCAAGTGCTATTTTTGGTTTTGAGTCCCTTTCTTTCTAAATCAACCTCTCCTGTTTTCCCCTCAGAGAAAGCCCTTGATTATATACAGCCATTGGTGGAGTAACAAGCTTTTTATTAATTTAAAACAGCCTGATAATATTTTAAATAACTAGAGGGTTCGTGATTTCTTTAGTTTGGTGGCAGCGAAAGTTTTACACAACGTGACATCCCCTCAAACCCTACAAAAGCCTCTTTTTGAGTTATTATAATTGGTTTTGCAGTGGTGGGATTTCTTTGATTGTTCCCCCCTGCCCAGATACCTCGAAGGTCTTTATAATTGGTTTGCAGCGGTGTGGATTCGTGTAACATCTCAATCCAGGGCATTTTTGTGTAAATCCTGAGGTAAAAGTTTGTCAAAACGTGACACCAAGAATTACCTCAGAGAGTGAACACCTCTAGTGCCATTTTACAACACATTAGGCCATGGCACCACCGAAGACAAAAAAGGGCACTCCTGAAGACACAGAGAGAGAAGGGGAAACTACTGCGTCTGTAGTGGAGGGGACTGAGACCCAAATACCAGAGGGTAGACAAGAACCAGAAAGGGAAAGGGAGAGAATGCAAGCTGAGATAGAAAGAGAAAGGGAAAGAGAACGGTTAAAACATGAGGAGCGAATGGCAGAACTACAATTTAGAGAACATGAGAGAACTCCTAACTTAAGTCAGCAGCGGACAGTTACTGCAGAAGAACAAAAGGAGGCTGAGAAAGAAAGCATGGCTGATTTAAAGAGGGAACATGAGAAGTTGACTATGGCAATACAAAAGTTGAATCAAAGCCATGTACATGAAGCATACATGATTGTGAAAGGTACAGAGTTGCTGAAGAGTTCCGCAAATCTAGTTTTGTTAATGGCGACATGTTTGAGGGAAGGAGGAGATTTAGACAGTGCTATAGAAGTTGTGGCACAGGCTGCTGAGTGGCAACAGGAGGTTCAGCCAGGGACTCCAGGCCATTTGTCCCTCATCAAGAGAGCCAAGGTCCTAGCTGAGGTTGCTAGAAAGGATGAGAAGGTGGCTCAGGAGGGTGAGAAAGACAAAGATGGCGGAGCTGACTCTGGGCTGGATGGCGAGGCTAAGGGAGTGGTACAGAAAGTTACCAAGGGGCCCGTCACGGTTGCCAGGGAAGCGAGAGCCAGTGAAGAGAATATAGGAACAATAGGTCTGGAAAGACAAGGGATAAACTCTGAGGAGAAAAAAGAATCCTTGACCGTAAAAGATGTATTACCTCCAGCTTCACGTAAAGAAATTACCTCAGCCGAACTTTTTGACAAAGACAGCGGAATACAATCAAAAGAGAAAGCTGAAGAAAAGCAGACTCTTGATTTGACTGTAGAAACTGATGGGAGTACAAAATATCGAAGTGCCTTCTGTGAAGCAAAGGATCATGCACCTGAAAGACTAGTTGAAGTTGAGATGGCTTCCAACCATGATTCCTTCACTATGAGGGTTCCAGAAGATCGCACAAAAGAACTTTTAAAGATTGGAACTGTCGTTGAAGTTAAGAATCTAAGTGAACCCTATCAAAAAGCAATCATCAACAATTTAACTGGAGCAAGCTCGTATGGTATATCAGTTAATGGTGAAGATAAGAAGACTCTCAAACATTCTACACTTCATCCGAAGGAAGAGAGATGTTTCGCTGAGAATAAAAACCCAGCTGATGGACTGTCGAGAAACATAATATACACTGACTATGTTATTGGTGATAAAAAGGAAAATCTACAATTTCCAGCTTCGGGGGTTCGTCCAGACTACAGTGATGAGACTGCAATGGAGAGAGAAGGTTTTCTTGTTCGTTCTTCCAACGGTGGCGAGTTCTCTTCAAGGCCAGGAGAGGATATTCAAGAAAGTGCTGATTCTTCGCAACAACATGATGCTACGCTGAAGCAAGACTCATTTCAAGCCTTAGAACTCGATAAAAGCAGAACTGTTCCTGATAATTGGAAGACCAGATGGAAAGAGGATAACTCCAGCAGCAGGGAGGAGAAAGGAGAAGAATGTGGTACTGTGGGGAGTGTACTGGCCGGTTGTAATTTGAGACTGAGTAGCAGGGGAAGGAGAATTGGAATTGGGTAAAAAAAAAATGCAACTTTATTCTCTACAAGGGCCAGACCAAATAACACATTTCTGAATGAAGGTGTTATTATAGCAAGATATGGGATAGTGTAGTGTTTAGGAATTGGTTAATCTGGTCAATTGCAGTTTTGCAAAGTATATGGTGTGATTATAAGGGTGAAATGTATATGTTTCATACAATAGGTATGATGTATAGATATATTCTTATAAAGTGTGTTAAATATGTAGGTTTTGCTAATAGACAAAATGTAGTTAGATGTAAATATAGAGATGTTTGAATAGACTGTTTATTAGAATAGAAGAGAAATTCCTTCTACTGTGTTATAACCTTATAGCAGACAGAAAGTCTCTTATTAGTGAAATAGCTTTTGTTTAGATACAGAGACTTAAATCTCTCCCGAGTGTTTAAACTTGTTCATAAGTATAGGATTGTTGTTGATAGTAAAATATTGATATATATAGATAAGAGTATAGAGATTGTATGTATATAGAATGTCAGGAGGCATTCCATGCAAAAGGTATTGTATTTAATATGCTAGAGTGATTATATGCAATGTTATGATATATTTAACATGTTTTTTCCCTTACAGGATTGTATTTATTGTGTGTAATGTATTTTGGATGTTGATTACAAAATGTATCTATTTGCATAAATGTTTTATTGCATAAGGTGGTTTTATTGCAAATGTAAGTATGTACATAGATAGATAGTTTAGCTAGGATTAGATAGATAGAAAGGGGGTTAGTTGGGCCTAGTACAGTGTCAGGCTTTGCTTCCGAAAAGGTCTGCAGACCTTTTCACTCCGCAAACCATCTTGAGGTGGGGAGGGAATGTAAAGATCCCTTACCTTGCCAGCCAGGGTGGCAGGGCCAGGAAAAGTCAGGCTAGGTAGTTTAGCTTGGAAAGGCCTGGCAGAGTGCTGCTGGAGCCATTTTAGAGCAGGGAAAAGCTCCAGGGCAGAAGGGGGAGTGGCTGAGGCCTGTGCCAGCCCAGCAACAGCTAGGATTGGTTTAGAGAATAGGGGCGGAGTTAGGCAGAAGGAGGGAAAGAGAACAGTGAGATTTGACAGTTTTAGTGTGAGTTCAGCTGAGTTATGAGAAGAGTAGAGAGGAGTTTTAGTTCAGTGCTGAGAGAGATTAGAGAGGGATTTAGCTTTGTCTAGAAGTCTCTGTTTTAGAATAGGCAGCTTGCCTTTAGTCTGCACAGACCAGTAGGCTGTGGCAGACTGAGTTGCAGCTATTGTGAGGAAAAATAGCTGGGTTTTGTGTTTAATGAAACTGTAACTAAGGAAAGAACATTCTCTCAAGCAACCAATACGCTTATAAGAAACAAGAGCACTTTTATCTGTAACCATCAAGCCTCAGTACCTGCATTCTCGTGTTGTTCTGTAATTTATGATCAATAAACTCTTTCTTATTATTTTTAAACTTAAAGCCTGAGTCAAGTGCTATTTTTGGTTTTGAGTCCCTTTCTTTCTAAATCAACCTCTCCTGTTTTCCCCTCAGAGAAAGCCCTTGATTATATACAGCCATTGGTGGAGTAACAAGCTTTTTATTAATTTAAAACAGCCTGATAATATTTTAAATAACTAGAGGGTTCGTGATTTCTTTAGTTTGGTGGCAGCGAAAGTTTTACACAACGTGGGACATCCCCTCAAACCCTACAAAAGCCTCTTTTGAGTTATTATAATTGGTAGTGTCAGAGGTGGGATATTGATTTATCACCCATACCTCTAAAGATCCTTGATAATTGGTGGGGCTATATGGCCATGTTCTAGAGGCATTCTCTCCTGACGTTTTGCCTGCATCTATGGCAAGCATCCTCAGAGGTGTGAGGTCTGTTGGAAGTAGGAAAAATGGGCTTTATATATCTGTGGAATGGCTGGGGTGGGGCAAGGAGCTCTTCCCTGCTGCAGTTAGGTGTGAATGTTAGCTGATCACCTTCATTAGCATTTGAAGGCCTGCCTGAGTCTGGGAAAATCTGTTGCTGGGAGGTGTTAATCTGTGCCTGGTTTTTTCCCTCTGTTGTTTAGCTGTTATAATTTTTGAGTTTTTTAATACTGGTAGCCAGATTTTGTTCATTTTCATGGTCTCTTCCTTTCTGTTGAAATTGTCCACATGCTTGTGGATTTCAATGGCTTCTCTGTGTAGTCTGACATGGTGGTGGTTGGTGTGGTCCAGCATTTCTGTGTTCTCAAATAATATGCTGTGTCCAGGTTGGTTCATCAGGTGCTCTGCTATGGCTGACTTCTCTGGTTGAAGTAGTCTGCAGTGCCTTTCATGTTCCTTGATGCGTGTTTGGGCGCTGTGTTTGGTGGTCCCTATGTAGACTTGTCCACAGCTGCATGGTATACGGTGGACTCCTGCAGAGGTGAGAGGATCCCTCTTGTCCTTTGCTGAACGTAGCATTTGTTGGATTTTCTTGGTGGGTTTGTAGATTGTTTGTATGTTGTGTTTCCTCATCAGCTTCCCTATGCAATCAGTGGTTCCCTTGATGTATGGCAGGAACACTTTTCCTCTGGGTGGATCTTCATCTTTACTCTCGTGGCTTGTTCTTGGTCTTGGATTGTTTGTATGTTGTGTTTCCTCATCAGCTTCCCTATGCGGTCAGTGGTTCCCTTGATGTATGGCAGGAACACTTTTCCTCTGAGTGGATCTTCATCTTTACTCTCGTGGCTTGTTCTTGGTCTTGCAGCTCTTCTGATGTCTGAGGTGGAGTATCCATTGGCCTGGAGAGCCCAGTTGAGGTGGTTCAGTTCATCTTGGAGGAGGTGGGGTTCGCAGATTCTTTTTGCACGGTCTGCCAAGGCTTTAATGGTGCTTCTTTTTTGACTTGGGTGATGGTTGGCGTTTTTATGTAGATATCTATCTGTGTGTGTGGGTTTTATAGATAGATATCTACATAAAAACTCCAACCATTTTAATAGAGTAGATTTCCTTTCTCACAGCTTTCTTCACTGTCCAGTTTTCATAACCAGACATAGAAAGCAGAAATATTACAGTCTGGATAATTCTGAATTTGGCATTTCATAAGTATTGCAGAACTTCACATGCAAAGTTATGAATTGCTGATGCCATGTATTGTGTTGAATGGCAGCATTGTTCAACTGAATGCACAAATGAACGTACAACTGAAGTGCTACTGCCAGCATCTGGACAGATCAGTATATAATATGCACTAGTCAAAATTGTACGTCTACATGTGCAGTGTCACCACAGGCGCAGTTCCACTTCTACAACACTGAGCTGGTTGCAGACCATGTACATTGAACAAAAATATCTAATACCTTCCATAAAAACATTTTCATCTGTCCAAGGCAGGGATCCCCAAACGTTTTAAGTGGAGGGCCGCTTCACAGTCCTTCAGACTGCTGGCTAGCAGGACTTAAATTGTATGCACATTGTGTGTACATACATGCGCACACATGTCAGGTACACATCAGGTATGCGTTAGTTGTCTGTTGATCTTCCGCACATACATGGAGCATGCATCAACCATGCTACACATTCTCAGTGTATGCATCAGCCATGCACACGTGGCGGTAGCAGTGGCGGGCTGGGAAAAGACCTTGGCATGCGAGATTCAGCCCGAGGGCCATAGTTTGGAGACCCCTGGTCTAAGGGCTTGTTGACACTAGAAAAAACGTATCGCAAATCTCCATGACACACTGGGACGTCCATTAAGAATCTGGAGATGTTTGCTCTTAAGTACTTTGTTCTAGTTCAGGTAAAGTCAAAGGGTACTCCATAGTTTACATGAAACTCTGGAATATCTTATGGGTTTACAGTCACTTGGGCAGCTGGATTGGGTCTATTTCAACCTGATCCACCATCCACATAGACACTGCCACCACTGCTGTCATTATGCAGAGGATGGGGGGGGGGGTGTTATCCTCCTGTGGCTGACCATGGAGGTCCTTGTGAACATCTGGGTATCGTAATCATGTCTGGTATTGTCAGAATGGGGTGCCTATGCAATCAGCAAGAAGGAAGAAGTTGCTTTAGTCTCTTCTTGTTGGTCATTTTGCTCCCCATCAGGCAGGGAAATAAGCTCCTGAATTTCAGGACAAGTTAAAATGATGCAGGTGTTGCTTGGATCAAGAAAAAAGTTTTATTTAGGCCTACAGAAAAGAAAAAAGAAAAAAAAACAGAGTGCATGCATGAGGGTCTCAACCTCTCTTGCAAAGGTAATGGTTGAAACTAGAACAATGATTTTATAGTTCACCTTATTTCTACCAGCTAGCCTTATCATGTGATCTGTTCTGGCCAAAGTGAGGGGAGGGGGTATAGTTTTGCTTGTTTGTTAAGTATGTTTTCTAACTAATAAAGGCATGCAAACAGGGGTGAACTAGAGATGTCACTAGAGTGCCCATCCTTTCTGTGCATGTGGATCTATCAGACTCAATTTTAGATCTTTGTTCTCAATATGGGTCCCCTGATGACTCCCCAATATGATTCCTCAATATATTTTTATAATGTTTTTACAATGTTTTATACTCTTTTTACTTGATATCTATATTTTTTGCTGGTTGTTAGCTGTCCTGAATCCCTCTGCGGAGGTTGAGATAGGACAGGATATAAATGCCCTAAATAATAAATAAATAAATAAATAAATAATATGATTCCTCAGCAGATTCCGATGCTGAGGAAGCGAGGGAGGGTACAGGCCAGCAGGGCTAATGAGATCTCAGGCTGTCTGGACATCACTAAAGTGCCACAGAGGATGCAGCCTAGTGGGTCTGGCCACCATCATGGCTCTCCAGAACCAATCCAGAGCACAACTCTCCAGATCCATCCTGGATTAAGCAGCTGCTGCAGACATGGCCGAAAACACCAATAGGATTCCATCCAATCTTGTCCCATGACTCTTCGACATGAGTGTTCAGTAACAGGAGGAAGAAAAAGGATCTGCAGCTCACCTCACTAAACTTTTTCCTTACAGCAGGAATGTGTGGAATGTAAGTGGGCTGAAGCAGAAGAAGGAAATGGAGTGGAATGAA